GGAGTGGTTTTGGTTTTTTTGCATTACATCTTCCCAGATTGTCTCCTGTTCCTGCTTTTTTGTTTTGTGCCAGCACTAGCATTCTTGGTAGGCCTACCAAGCCAAGCAATTGGAATTGGTCTGGATTAAGGGAAAACCAGGTGAATAAAAAACTAATCGCGTGGCCTGAGTCAGAGGGTGGTAGTTAATGGTCCACACTGTGAGGAGTCCTGTGGGGATCTATATGAGAACCTGTCTTTATCAGTGACTGGAGCAGGCAGTGTGGTGCACTCTCATCATGTTTGCGGGCAGCACAACATGGGGAGGGGGGATGACCAGGTGATAGGCTACCTCAAGGGAATGGCTGGTATTCAGGGATTCCTAAAAGGCAGGAGGAGTGGTCCATCAAGAACATGAAGATATTCAGCAGGGACAAATGCCAAGTCTTGCACCTGGGAAGGAAAAGCTCTTGGCAGGTATATAGGGAACAGAGGGGCTTGGGGGAGCAGCTCTGCAGGAAAGGCCCTGAGGGTACTGGCAGACAGCAAATCCCTGGCAATGAAGGGAGTTGGCCAACAGCATCCTGGACTGTATCACCAGGCACATAGCCAGTAGATCAAGACAAGTGATTATCCCTGATTATTCAGCACTCCTTGCATTGCATCTAGGTTTTAGGTCCGCAATACAGGGAAGTTGATAAATTGCAGCACTTTCGGCAAAACCCACCATGATGGGCACTTGCCCTGCTAGGAGTGGCAACAGGAGTTGAGCTTGGGACTCCCAGTGCCTAAGGGGAGGTTATAGAGAAGATGGAATTGACTCTTGGCAGTGACTAAATTGAAACAGGAGCGATTCAGATTAGATATAAGGAAAAGTTCTTTCCCATGACTGGGTGCTGGAGAGGTTATGTGGTTTCTGTCTTCAGAGAATTTCAAGACCCAGCTGAATAAAATGCTGAGTAACCTGGGCTGATGTCACAGCTGAACCTACTTTGAGGAATAGTTTGTACTAGACCCCTTCCAGCCTGAATTACTCTGTGTTTCTATGATTCTTGGTTGAATTTCCAGATTCCAGTACTGTGGATTTGTGCTGTGGAATGATCCTGCTTGAGAAGGGAGGTTGGACCAGATGACTCGCTGTGGTCCCTTCCTGACTGATTTTGTGATTCAACCTGTAGCTGGAAAGAGCACTGTCAGCAATTTGGTGGCAGTAGAGGGAGAACTTCCTAGTTTCTTTAAACAGTGAAGATTTACACCTCCTTCCTGAAGATAGATAGTCTTCAGTGTTTAAAATAATCTCTTTTTTTTGTTGCAGTGGGCAAGGGGAGCACATGGTGGGTTATTTTGACTTATTAAAGGAAGAATAGTATGTCAGAGGAATTTACCTTATTTGCCAACTGATGGTTAACCATACGGTTGTTGAAGTTGCATTTAAACCTTTAAATGTCTTTCAGGATTTATTTTTTTTAAGTTATTTTAAAACAATTTTGTATTAAATAGGAGTATTGTATTTCTAGAGACTTACCCTCAGTTTATTTTCATTTAGTTGTAAAAATAAGCTGTTCTTTCTAGTGGCAAGCTTGAGTCATCACATAACTATAAACAGAGACACTATACAAAGTTTAGGTGGCATGGACAGTTGTCTCTTCTCACGGTCCCTAATATACCACCATTTTCTAGCAGCAAATTCCAGAAATTAAATGGAAGAGGAAAAAATCCCATGTTTTTAGAAGTGGCAATGCATATGTAAAATGAGTGAAGATTACACTTTCTTCCCAGTATCCATTGCTTGACTGAGTCAGTTAAGTCTTATTTATATCAGAGGGAAAAGAGAAAGTTTGCAGCACTGCCACTGAAAGTATCACTGGATGACTCTGGTTTTCAAGGTCAAATTAAGTATTTACAATTGATGTTAGAAAGCCAGTGTATAATAAATAGACTATAAGATTTTAATGGTCACTGGAGATGCCTGCTTTTGCTCTCTGTGATTTTTTCCTTTAAATAATGAAATATTTGTTGTAAACCAGGAAAAGTACTACAAAAAAGCATTATCTTAAAGGTAGCTCAAGTCCTAAAGTATATTGTGTCATTTTCAAAAACTGATTATACTCATCTTTGTAGTCATACCTAAGACTTTTAAAACATTATTCAACTGAACAATTTTAAATTGTTTTTTTTTCCTCTCTAGTTGTGGCATCAAGCAAATTCAGCTTTCTTAGTTCTTTGTGCTCTCCAGTTTTTCCTTTCCTGGTACAGATTTGTGTGACTGCTGGGACAAACTATTACTTGTTTTACTAAATGCTAATCCTACTGTTAGAGTTGTTTTTATATTATAATGCTAAAGAAGAAAGTTGTAAAATTATCCTGATGGTAAATTGTGTTGAGTGGATGGAACTGTTCTGTGTCCGGCCATGGTTTGTTCTACTTAGTACTGAGCTTGTCAGATCATCATGAGTAAAACATATGCTTTATTTCTAAAAATACAACAGAAAGAGTTATCTTGTTTCATGTTTAGGTTTGGAGTCTTTTAGGAGGTGGATGTAAGAGACATTCAGCTTTAGGCTCTTAAATTAACATTTTCAAGTCTTATGTAAGATTAGTGCAATAAATATGATTAAAGGGGTTTTTTATTTTTTTTTTATTTAAATTCTTACACTGAGGGAGATATTGATATGAGCATAGGTGTCTAAAGTCATTTTAAACTCTCTGGAATATCATCTCTGGATTCTTGCAACCACTTTAAACCAACCCATATTGTCCTGTGTTTTGTGCCTTACCTGCAGTCAGGTGTTTTCAAAATGTTGAGCTAATATGGTCCCAGACACTTGTGTTTGGATGCCTAAATTATTTAGAAAAACACTAAAATGAGGACAACCGGAAGAAATATTCATGCTTGCACTTTGAAATACAAATGTAGCTTGTAATGGTCACTTACTGTAATAAACAGTTATAGAAATTGATTGCAGGAAACATTGGTTTGGTTTAACCCCAACTGGCAACTAAACACAACTGTTCGCTCACTACTCCCGATGGGATGGGGAAGAGAACTGGGATTAGCAAACAAAGCAAAACAAGGAATTAATTCACCACTTCCCATGGGCAGGCAGGGGTTCAGCCATCTCCAGGACAGCTGGGCTTTATCACACATAAGGGTGACTTGGGAAGACAAAACATCATCACTCCAAATGTCCCCCCTTCCCTCTTCTTTCCCCTCCAGTGTTATATGAGCACGATGACATATGGGATATCGCTTTGGTCAGTTGGGGTCAGTTGTCCTGGCTGTGTCACTTCCCAATTCCTTGTGCCCCCTCAGCCTCATTGCTGGTGGGGTGGTATGAGGAGCAGAAGAGCCCTTGGCTCTGTGTAAGCCCTGCTCAGCAGTAACAAAAACATCTCTAGGTTATGAACACTGTTTTCAGCACAAGTCCAAAACACAACCCTATACTGCCACTGTGAAGAAAATTAACTCCATCCCAACCCAAACCAGTACAAACATAAACTTTTAACCTTAAATTCAATTTTTTTTATGTAATTACTTACCTTATTAAAAAAAATGCTTTGCCTTAGCATAGAATTTTTTTTGTTTGTTTTTAAGCTTTCTTTATCATCAGTATTGTAGATGCCAGAATAATTCTGAACTGAGTTATGGTCTGATATGAACCTGTGCATGTGTCAGGTGAGGCTATGGGCTGTCCATGAGACTTGGAGGATTATTATTTTCTATTTTGTTTTTCTTGTTCCATCTCTCCACAAAACATGCCAAGAAAAGGAGGGATGTGGGGGTGTCTACAGCAAGATAGACTTAAAGTAAATGGCACCGGGTTTGAAGAAGTTGGTTATATCAGGGTGTGTTGTTATATCACTTTTGTGGAAAGAACTATTAGAATTGAAATGAACTACACACAGGCATGATTAAAAAAATAGTAGTGTTGCATTTGGAGAGAACTGTGGTTGCCATGAGGATGCAGGCAGGCTTCATTTTGAAATAGTGTCTGTAGGTTGGTTGAAAAAATGGTTATTATTGGTAGAGCGGATGATGTCATCTGTTGTAGGTAGCTACATGAAATACTACCTCATTCTGGGGTTCTGTTGTTTAGTTTCTGAGAAGTATTTTGTAAAGTACACTTGGTTTTGCAGATGATGGATAATTTGCTAGGTAGAAAATTACCAAATCTTAGAGAAGTTATTAAAGGGTCTATGTTTTTGCACCCATTATTCAGAGACACTTTTTGCCCTTTCTGGAATGCTAGAGGAAGTACAGATTCAAGTTCCCCATGTCCAAAGAATCCACTAGGAAAGCAGATTTAAGCCACTGAGATCCCAGGGTAGCTGTTTTGAAGAGCCTGTCCTTGTTAGCAAGGCTCAAACATGTTAGCAAGCACTGTGAACATTGCTCTTTAACTCTCTACGTGACTCCTTCTAGTATCTGCTTTTATTTCTTCCTATCTTGCTTAAAATAGAAATAATTTTAAATCCTACTTAAACATGAAAATACAGTGCATTTGTTGTCAGTATCTAATAAGATTAACATAGTGGAAGACAGTAGGCTTTTTTCGTTTTCTTAGACTGTGATTTTGCAGTCTTAGACTGCAATTGTATTTAGTAAATTTCTGTTCATAGAAAGTATGCTTTTCCCGAGGACTTCTGTGTAAGTTTTAGTAATAATAATATTGGCAACAGAAAATGAAAACCAGAACTGGTCAACAAGCAAGAAAGAAAAAACAGATGAAAGAGGATGAAAAAAGAATGAGTAATATCAGGATTGTTTTTAAGCTATGTGAAAGACATCAATGCGTAGTACAGTAGGAGAGGAGCATAATTTTTAAAGAGTTAAAGTAGAAGTGTATAATTCAAAATACTTAATATTCTGTCATGTTACATAAACTGTAGTCTTGTTAAACTCATCTTTTCTTTTGAAATACTAAAGGAGGTTGCTAAGGGGTGGGGGGGATGTCAAGTGAAATGGCTGCAATGATGTTATGCAACAGAGTTAATTTCGACCTACGCTCTGCTTCTCTGCAGAAGAAGTTGAAGAAGAGTCTGAAACTACAATTGAGGTTGATTTGACTGATAAACAGAAGCATCAGTTGAAGCACAGAGAGCTTTTCCTTTCTCGCCAGTATGAATCCCTTCCGGCAACACATATCAGGTAAGAAGCAGTAGATACCATTTCTCTGCGTGTTCTGCTGGGATGGATTGCCTGCCAGTAGCCCACCTGCCTGAACACGTCAACCTTTGTCTTGCAAAAGGGTATAATTGATCTTACCTGAGTTGTGTCAGATTGTCCCGTGAACTGCTTTACAAGCACCTTTGGTTTTTCCTTCTGTTACTTGATGTTTGAGCCTTAGAAGAGACAAGAGTCTCAGAGCTCTGGCTTGTCAATTAGAGCAACAGTTGATAATTTGGTATAAAATCAGTCTGTAACTACTTTGGGAGAGTTCTTTTTTTAATCTGCTGGCCAAAGGAACTTTGACCATTTTGTCTGGCCAGGGAAATTGCAGATGGGTTTGGAAAGGAGGCAGTGGCTCAATGATCAGATCTGCACTTTAGGGCTGTACACACTTTAAAGTAAAATTACCTCAGCTTACTTCAGTAACTGTGAAGAAGTCATGATTCTTTGGCTAAATGTTGCAAAAGCATTTCAAGTATCATTTTAAATTGCCCTAATGCTAAAGTAGAAAGAAGCTTGCTAAAGCTCAAAAAGGATTTGTTGACTTGTATCTGTAACTGATGCAAATACTCACGTCATCTCTGATTTAGTAGTCAAGAAAAATTTTATTTTTTTTTTGTGTGTGTGTGTGTGTTCATATGGGGGGATAATGAACCTAGAAATGGAAAAGAGCACAGTGACAAGGGGGAGTGTAGCTAAGTGTAAAACAAGGTTTCTTACGTTGCATTCTGAAGGAATTTTCATTTTCTCATTCTATCCAACTCCCATCAGCTATTTCAGGCCATAAATGTCTATAAGCCACCAAAAAGAGGTATATATTATCCAGTAGGAGAAACACTTTATATGTATATATGTATTTTCTCTCTTATTGGCAGATGTGTTGCTTATCTCTCTCACTGACAACACGAAACCTGCAAGCTGGAAATTTTTGTCTTAATTTCCCATGCTTGATTCAGATACTTGTTCTGACTTTGAGAAAGTCGTTTAACTGTCAAATCTCTGCTGCTCCAACTATAGCATGGAGATAATAATCCTGTGCAGTTTCTTTTCCTTACTTTGACATTTAGATATTGAAATAAGGTATTCTCTTTGCAGAGGGAAGATTACACAGAAGAAGTATTGTAAAGGTCTTTTCACCTCACAACTCAGGGAGCAAATGCAATAGAGGTTCTCCAGCATATACTTCACAAAGAAGGCAAAAAACCATGTGAATTCATAGTACATGCTGCACAACACAGCAGGCAAATGCAGAGTGATGACTTGCATCTACTTTTCAGAACAGATGAATGTTGTAGGGCTGTACTGTCACGAGTTACTAAGACCTTTACCAGATGAATTCTGGAACAAGCTTGATGTAGACTAATGGTTTTTTAACAACCTTAACTCTGTTTTAAAAGGAAACAAGAAGGAAAATACGCTGCAAAGTATTTATTTAGCTTTTTAACTTACTAATGTTCACATTCTGTGATTCTCAGTAGTTTTCATATCTTTTATCAGTTAACTTTTCCAGTAAGTGTTGTAGAAATACTGTGAAGGTGGTACTCCTCTGTCTCCCATCAGTACACAAGAATATTCAAGGATGCAGATTTCGCAGCTTCTCTGTGAGCAGTTTGATGACTGTTGTGGTGAATTTTTTTTCCCAGTCATCGATTTGGGATTTCACTTATTGAAAGTCTGCTACCTTGTGTCCTATCACTGTGCTTCTCTGAAAGGAGCCTGGCTTCATCTTAGTTATCCATCTTTTTGTAATGGAACACAGCAGTAGAATTTCTCTTATACCTTAAGAGTGAACAAATCCAGTTTAATATTATCTGCAGACTTCTTAAAAGTGTATTCAGGTTATTAAAGATATCAAACTGTTGGTCCCGGGGTCAGAAACTTGGGGATGGCCCCAGTTGCCAGCTGGACTCAGTATTACTCATTACACTGAGGGTCCAGCTAGTTTTTTTCCAGCTTATTGTCTACTTACCTGGTCCATGTTTCCAGTCTGGTTAAAGGACACTGGAACACAATGCAGGCCTTACTGAAGTCAGGGTGGATGACATTCTCTGACTGTCACTGGGCTACGAAGCCAGTTGTCTCCATATAGAAAGCAAGCAGATACTTGTGCAGTAAAACTCTGCATAGCTCCATGTCGGGCCTTTGGTCTTGGCACCTGCAGTTTTAGCCCCTAGATAGGAACAATTGGATTTACAGGATAAAATAAATGGTGTAGTGTTATAGAGATTGGTGGTTGAAAATCAGTTCTCTCAAGAGTAAGAACACAAAAAAATCAGTCCCTTTGGAAGGAAGAGGGGAAAGCCAAAGGTGATTTTAAGAGAATGGAGGAGGGTTTTTGCAGCTACAGGTCTTGAAATTTTACTGACATCTTCAGCCAAGAAAAGAAACTGAGTTTGGTTGCCTTTGTGTTGCAATTTAGGGGAATAAAAGTATTTTACCTGGTATGGTTTTATTTAATTTTTACTAATACAGTTTTCCTGCTTTCATTTTGTCTTTCTTCTTTTCTTAACTTTGCTCTTTTTACATTTTTCAAACTGAATAGTAGAGGAAATTATACCTCTACCCCTCTAAAAAACTCTGTCACTGAGGTTACTTTTGTTCTAGTTCAGGATTACAAATACGGTGATGTCTCATTTATATATACCTGGTGCTATTACTTCACAGTTGAGTTACCTTGATGTTATTTTAGTAGGTTAGATTTCTTTGGTGTGTATGTCTAACTCTGAAGCTCTTTGGTCTGCAACTCTGAGCTTTGAATAATTCTGATGTAATTTGTTTGCTCTTGAATTACTGAAATACAGTTTCATTCCTTATTCTGATACTTTTTATTTTGCTATATACATTATATGTAACTCTTTTGATATGTAATTTGTTTTGTTAGAAATACTGGGACTTCTCAGACTTCATCTTGTTTCCCCTTTACATTAGGTGTCACTATGCCATTTCAGTACCTTTAGGGAATGGCATTAGTTTTGGCATAGAAGAAAAATCCAGATTTAGAAAATAATTAGAAGCAGGGAGTGTAGTAGCAATTAAAACATGGCAATGCTGCCTTGTGGACAGTGTTCTTGCCATGGAATGTGTTTAAGAAAGTGCAATTGTGTAGACCGGTGCAGCACTGTTCTGGAGTCATGGTGTGGGGTAGAGTACAAGCTGATGTACTGGTTTGGGGATCAAAGACAGCGTTTGTTACCTTGGTGCCTACTTGTCAAGTTATAAGTGAAACTGTTGCCTCTCCTGTCTGCTCAAATGCGTGAGGTCAGTTAACACCCCTCCAGTGGATTATCTCCTTCCTTCCTAATCCCTGCATGTTACAGATGCAGTTTTGCCAGGCTCTGTAATCCCCATATGTCCTTGTAACAGTTATACTGCCAGCCAGACTCACTGAGCCACTCTCCTTCACTAATGTCATGCCGTGAATGCTCCCAGGATTTGTGCAGGTGGCTCCTATAAGCAATGCCAGTCCCAGAGAGGGGCTGAGTTGAACCAATGCTGTGTACTTTAACTTGGCATTTCAGAGATTAGAGCATTACCAAGTACAGCATTTTGGAAAGGCATGAGAAGGCACTGGGGGGGAAAATGGTGAAAGTTGTCAGAAAGTTGAAATTGTTTGCCAGTGTTGTAAAATTCATCATAAAACTTAGCACATGGTAAAAAATGGGTCCTTTGTATAAAAATCTGCAAATGGTTATCTTGTTGGAGATTCACTGAGTTATCTGACTTCTGACATGGGCTTTAAATTTACTTTTCATTCTTAAGCTCTCAAGAGTTAAAAGATGTTAAACATGTTTAGATTGTTATGAAAGATTTACATTAACTTCTGAGATCCTTTGTAACTGCTCTTAAATTTAATACTTATATGAGTTGTGTAGAAGAATTTATTTATCCATCAGAGTTCATCTTACCATTTTCAGTATCTTTGCTTAGTTCTTGTTTGCTAATAACTGTGTTTCAGTCTTGGGGTTGTGGGTTTTTTTATGTTGGTTAATTATTATTATTTTTATTATAATACTTTTAGGTGTTTGGAAAGCATACATAGTCCAAACATTCTCAGATATCATAATAAAATCAGGCGATCTTTTGGGCTGCTTTATACTGCAAGAACAATCCCCACCCACCTAAAAATTTAAAAAAATATATTTCTTTTTGAATTTATGCAAAATAAAAAGGCTCATATACAGCTTATTTGACTAAAGTCAAAACAGCTTGAGAATGGAGAAGAGTTTCAGGCTGATGGCCATTTGTAAACAGGAAAGAGGATTTCAAATATAATTATTATTATATAATTATATTTGGTTGCTCTTATATTGGTAATTTGGTTGATACAATTGTCTGGGTTTTTGTTAGGGTTGAAGAATAAGCTACTAGTTTGTCAAATGCCTTTCTAAGTTACGTTGGGGGTTACAAATATTTATCTTAAGGAAATAAAAATTAAATTTGCTAAATTTAATTTACTGAATTACTTCTTTCAACAACATTTCTGGTAAGTTAGAATATAGGCTTTTAAGAGTCCTATCCTGGGACCAAAAAGAGTGGTATTGTAATGACCTCTTCCATTGTTCTTTTATCTGATTCAGGCCACACAATTATGTGCAGGGACTATTGATGTGATCCTAAGTGTTTGTTCTTGCATTAAATTGTATGTTGCAGAGAGAAGTCCATGCTTGGTTGAAAAATTTTCAAGTGGTGGATAATTTACCATAATCTTTAAAGTTTTATCAGTTGCTAATTATGTGTGTTTGCACCACTCTGCTTTTTCTTTTTTCTTCTTAGAGACTGTTTGCACTGAGTACTTTCTTGCTTTTCTTGGACACAATGCTGAAATTCTTGCTGAGCTTGATTTCTGGACTCAACATGGCTGCATATGATACCTGTGCATTATGTGGATGTTTGTCATTATGGGGATTGTTCAAATAACTAGTAAATCTACACCCTAATATTTAATGGGGGATTTTTATTCAAATTGCCCTTGCATGGAC